GGGGGTGGGGTTGAGTTTGAGACAGGACTGTGACCTCAACCACCCAATCAAGAACAAGGAGAGGGTGGGGTTGGTTTGCGACAGGACTGTGACCTCAACCAACCAATCAAGAACAAGGAGAGGGTGGGGTTGGTTTGCGACAGGACTGTGACCTCAACCAACCAATCAAGAACAAGGAGAGGGTGGGGCTGGTTTGCGACAGGACTGTGACCTCAACCAACCAATCAAGAACAAGGAGAGGGTGGGGTTGGTTTGTAGCATTCCACCACGAGTCGGTGGTGGTGTTCGGGTGACTATAATATTTCAGAACATTAGCAGCTTCCTAGCTGCTCGGTTTACCATGGAACACAAAACGGAAGCAGGTCGGTATACCATGGAACGCAACGGAACCAGCTTTCTAGCAGCTCGGTTGCTCGTCGAACATACAGCATCGCCACGGTACATGAAAAAACAAAAATCACGTCGTGTGTTTTCTTCTTCGTTGTTTAAAAAAACTTAATCTCGCCTGCGTAGTGAAAGCTTTCGTGGAAGCCACGGCGGTTTCTCGGCCGGCGTTAAGGTAGACTCCCATCTTCGTCTCTCTCGCGATAGCAGACCCGACCACGTTCACCACGGACAGGCGAGGGATGCCCACCATCTCAGCGGCCTTCAAGGCTGTTTTGTTTTGTTTTGTTTTTCACGGTATATTCGGGAACACACCAAGCGTAATATTGTGGCGCGCGGGCGGGGCGAGTCGGGGACGGGGGTGTTGAATTGTTGTGCTGAGATATGGTATTGTAGTGACCAGTGACCACACGAGAACGGATGGGGAATTTCTTCCACAGGACCGAGAGATAACTCATGGCCAGTCGTTCCTTCCTACTCTGCCAAAGGTGGCTCAAAAATGTCTGTAGTCTATCTATCCTATCGATATCACTTCAGGAAAAAGAAAAGAAAAAAAGAAACAAGTGCGAGTATTTGATTGCTCTCTCTCTCTCTTTGCGTCTCGCTCACCCTTCAAGGTGTCCCTGGTTTCTCCGCTCTGGCTGACGGCGATGATCCCACCCTGGCTCTTTGGGATATCCTGAACTCGAAGTTCCGCCGCATCCTAAAAGGAAAAAAATAAAATGAAAGCATTGCTGTTAAATCCAGACTCCTGTCTAGAGATGATTTCGTTGTGTCTTGGTAAGAAAACAAATAGCACAAATCGGGCTTTCTTAGTACGAGGGGGGCCGGGCAAGGCGAGGGATGCATCCTGTTCCGGGTTGGGATGCATACATATCCGGCACATCTGAGAGAGCAAGGTCACGAGCAGGCGATTGTTGAGGGAGAGTTTCGCTAGAAGCGTCACAAAGCGTGTGTCTTCGACGGGGTGCTCCTCTTGGAGTGCATCTTTGCAAAAGTGGACAAATCAATCACGCTTCGACTGATTGTCGAAAGCGGAGTGTTTTTTCACGTCGAATGGTCCGAAAACGCACACGACACGCTTTAAGTGAACTGGAACGTGGCATCAACGACAGGAAGGAAACAACGACAACGACTACAACAGACACAAAAAATATCATCACAGAAACCACGCCGAACCCCGCCCGCCGCCTCTACCCCCCCACACCTGCGCGTTGCACGTGTCGACCGCCCCCATGTCTCGCATCAGCTTGGCCCCGTACTGGCTGGCGTAGAGGCTAGTGCCGCACGCGGCGAACATGAGGTTGCGGATCTTGGAGAGCTTGTCCATGTTCCGGTCCAGACCGCCAAGAACCACACCGGAAGAGTCGGTCATTCGGCCTGCGGGTCGTCGCGTCCCGTACCACATTTTTTTGACGGAAAACCACCAAGGATCGATTGCAACACAAACCATATTTGTTAGACGGAAAACCAACAAGGATCGATCTCAACAAAACCCAGATTTTTTAAGACGGAGAATCACGAAGGATCGACCGGAACAAACATCAGGTTTTTAGACGGCACGACAACAAGGATCGATAGCAACAATTGAGCAAAACAAGGACACAGACATACGTGGTTTCCCCGGAGGTTTTTGAAACCTTTTGCATGAAAGGGATTTCCACAGAAGTTGGTGAAAACATTGATTTTTGATACGGCATGACTGGATAGAGCGAAAAATATTTACCGTTTCTCGAGGAGTCGGTCTCGGAAGTACTCCCACCCGCCTGGGTGTTTTCGTACAAAGTCACCGGAGCGAACACATACGAGCAAGAGAGACTAACAGTGCCCACAATCCATGGTATCATCTCTATTCGAACAACATCTTCGAGATCTACAATATCTACGACGAGGCCGCCTCACCTCCGAAAGCCAAGGCCCTCTCTATTCGAACAACACCTTCGAGATCTACGACATCTACGACGAGGCCGCCTCACCTCCGAAAGCCAAGGCCCTCTCTATTCGAACAACATCTTCGAGATCTACAATATCTACGACGAGGCCGCCTCACCTCCGAAAGCCAAGGCCCTGGCGATGGCCATGGGCTGCTGGAGGGCCTCGTACAGGGTCCAGTGTGCGTGAGGGTCAGGGGTGGACTCTACGCCGTGATCCGGAGCCTTGAAGAAAAAAAACAAGAAGAAGAAAGCAGCAGCATAAGGGAGATGGAAAAATAGGGCGGAAATATCGTCAGCAACGAGAGGAAGGGGGTACGAAAAGCGTGTCTGCAAGGGGGGGGGGGGGGGAAGAATAGTCCTGTCTCAAAGTCATGGACCGACGTGTATTGATCGTCAGTGGCAACGGAGGACAACCCTAACCCTGAAAATACAAGCTCCAAACCCTACCCAACTAACTCACGAGCTCCATGCGGGCCTTGTCGAGAGAGCACTCGGTCGGCGTGATGACCGCGATCTCTCCGTCCTGCATGGCGATGAAGTTCTTGGTGTGCCTGTTGAACGCCGCGGTCTCCGAGGCGACGTAGATGTGGTCCGTGCCGAGCCCGATCACCATGGGAGACCCGTTGCAGGCTACTACCAGCTCGTCGGGTCTTTGGAGTACGGGGTGCGGTTTTGGGAGAAAGGGGGGAATTGCAAGAAAAAAAAATAAGGACGCGGGACGAAGAACCGCACTCTCGTTTAGTATCGGTTTGCGTATGCATACGTGGAGGAGGGGGGGCGTACTCGTGTTTCGCATGCCTGGGAGGGGGGGGGGGGCGTACTCATATTTTGCATGCCGTAGCTTTTAGACCATTGACCACGCGTCCTCTAGAGGACGCGGCAGAGTTGTAGACATAATGCTAACAAACGTATCGGCATAAAACTGACGCAAAATAAGACCATTATTAAATAAGACCATTATTCAGCCGTTTTTTTCGCCCACTCACGGCGAAGACTTCAATTCAACACTTCCCCTTCCACCAACGGTGGTGTGCTATCGCCCCGAATGGTTAGTACGGAGGCGCACCCGAAGACCACACTCTCTTGTTCACAACACATGGTTGGGGGAAAATACTTGGCGAAAAAAGAAAGGCCTTCCTCCCTGCTGAGTTGGCCCGGCTGGCGCGTCCAGAGGATAAGTCGTTGTCCCAAAACGTGCACGAGACCGACTTCCAGAAGAAGATGGCATGGAAAAAACAAAACAAACCATTGTAGGATGATAAGAAAAAATTAAAAATTCTGTCTAAAGAACCTTGCCATGCGTGTACAACGGCACTGGTCGCACAAGTATTGATTCATCACGCGAGTTGCTGGGCGCTTAACGTATTCGTGTCTATCAGCACAGCACAGCACACTGCCAAAAAAAGAAAGAACGAAGAAAGTTGCCATGCGTGTACAACGACACTGAACTGGTCGCAGAAATATTTATCCATCACGCGAGTTGCTGGACGCTAAACCTATGCGTGTCTGCCACAATGCCGTGCTTGTGGTGGTGTAGTGTAGAGTTTCTTTCAAGATGTACAGCATATCCCCTACGCTACAGGCCAGTGCTGTAGCATAGTGGATATGCTGTACACCTCAACAGTTTCAACAGTTTCAACGGTTTCGTTTCCTTCTTCCTCACTTCTCGTGGGCGATGACCGCGAGACCCCAAGTGCCGTCGAGCTTGGCGACCGTCTTGGCCAGCGCCACCTTGAGGTCCATGTTGGGGTCAGAGTCTAGCTCCAGGCCCACGAGGTGAGCGATAACCTCCGTGTCCGTTTCGGATCTGCAGAAGAGAAGAAATAAATAGACCAATAAATAAAAAATTGAAAAATTGGAGCATCAACGGCCGCACGCAGTGTTTCTGACCAAAAATGCTGACGGTGACGATCCTCTACATTCCGAGCGAAGTGACAAACCACGGCCAAAAATCGGTGACGACCTTCTCCTCTACATTCCGAGAGTGTATGCAACGATAAAAAATGGGTGGCGACCTGTTCCTTCTCTACATTTCCGAGAATGTAAACAACGAACTACCAAAAATAGGTTGAAGGTGGCGACCCGTTCATCTTAAGACTATATTCCGAGAGTGCAAACAGCAACAACGACCACCACCCTCCGCCCTTTCCCCCTGTGGTAGACTGACGGGCGTGTGCTTGTTTTGTTTTGTCGCCTCACTTGAAGGTGATGCCCTTGCGCTCGAGGTCCCCCCTCAGGTCGTGCGCGTTGTTGATGGTGCCGTTGTGGACGAGAGCGATGCGAGACCCGAAGTCCGTGTGGGGGTGAGCGTTCTGGTCGGTCTTGCCACCTTCAAAAAAGAAAAGAACGAAGAAAAAAAAATAACGTTCGGCGGCAACAACAATGACGAGGAGTAGAGAGAGCGTTCGTGGGTGAGGTTGCAAAGAAGAGGGGCCGGGAGGGGGAGGAAAAACGCCGTCCACTGCATCATCGTGGAGGGGGGGGGGGAGGGGGGGGGGGTACC